CATAAAACACATTCATGAATCGGAGCTCCTACTGGTCCAAGTACCGAATCAACCCTCAAGAGAATTATTTATCTACTTCTTTCTTAAGAAGGAATGGATTCCATCTCGTGTAATAACATTCCCGGCTACCTACTTCATCATGTCTCCAAAATACAAGGAATAGGATTCAGGATCTCAGAATCCGTACCGAGTACATCAAAAGACACAAATCCATAAATAGGAGTCTGTTAAGAACTCGGGATTAAGATCATCCTATATATGACCATCGGTAGACTCAATTAGAATTTCTATACTTAACGGAGTTATTAGAAATTCATATTGTGTCTGTGTCCTTGTTCCACATAATCTCATTATGCGAAATACACTCATTCAATATCTCGCCATATTAACAGTGCGGATAACACCGTTCCATTCTAAATGGGAATGACATGTATTAATAATGTTTTAATTAAAGATTCCAAACTTTAATTAAATTTATTATGAACATTGCTTTTTGATTATTATCCTTAAACATTATCCTCTCATATATAACACTTATATACAATGTTTAAGGTTACATAAATAATCATGGAATTTTTATTGATATTCATAAAATATTCATAAATATATGCACATAAAATAATGAATAAACTATTTTATTAAATAAATAATAAATATCCTATTACATCTCATGCTTCTAGGACACCATTCCCAACAGTTTCATACCCTTCCAATAAAAGTTTGTTGAAATTTGTTTGTATGTTCGCGAGAACCCAGAATGGCCCCCGATGACTGAACTATGGAACTCTTGGAGAATCCTCGGAACCCATGAGGAAGGCTGAACCAACTTGTCCTCAAACCATAACAGGTCGTTGCGAAGAACATAACCATCGCCTATTGGTTGCCCATTGCGGATGCCCAAAATGATGGCACGACAGGTAACATCCGTAAGCTGATCCAGTTTGAGGGCCTCCATATTGACTGGGTGGGAAACAGAAATGGTCGCTAACTGGACATGGGAACCATCCCCCTTACGCGAGAGTGTATCCGCCACCCGGTTCGTATCGCCAGGCTTGTATTGCACCTCGAAATCATAGCCGAGCAATTTGGTAATAAGGCGCAGCTGCTTAGGGGGCAAAACACACTGGTCCAAGAGGAATTTTAGACTATGCTGATCGGCCCGGATAATAAAGTGTCACCCCAAGAGGTAATCCCGCCATTTTTGAACGGCAAGAACTATGGCGAGTAGTTTTCGCTCGTAAACTGATTTGAGACAGAAGGAAGAGGAAAGAGTCTTACTAAAATAGGCGATTGGCCGTCCTTCTTGCATTAACACCGCGCCAACCCCACTGCCCGATGCATCAGTTTCTAGGATGAACACTTTAGTAAAATCTGGCATTGCCAATACGGGTAGCTTAGTCATTGCCCGCTTTAGATGAATGAAGACAACCTCTTCCGTGGGAGTCCAGTTAAAAGCTCCTTTCTTGAGTAAATCAGTGAGGGGGCAGGTGAGGGCACCATATCCTCGGACAAACCGTCGATAATAACCCGTAAGGCCGAGAAAACCACGAAGTTCCTGAACATTCCGCGGTGATGGCCAAGACAACATTGCACTAACATTGGAGGGGTCGGCAGCCCCCCATCGGCCGCGAGAACATGGCCCAAGTAGTGGACCTGTTCTTGCCCGAACACACACTTCTGAAATTGGCAAACAGGGTCTCTCGGTGCAACACCTCCAAGACCCTCCGCAGATGATCGTAATGATCCTCCCACAACTTGCTATAAATCAAAATATCGTCAAAAAATACCAAAACAAATTTTCGTAAGAAAGGGTGGAATACCGCATTCATCAAGGCTTGGAATGTGGCCGGTGCGTTGGTGAGGCCGAAGGGCATGACGAGAAACTCGTAATGTCCTTCATGAGTCTGAAAAGCGGTCTTTTCCACGTCGCTCTCGCGTACCCGTATTTGGTGATATCCTGCTTTCAAGTCTAATTTTGAGAATACCCGCGCTCTGTGTAACTCATCCAACAGCTCGTCAATTATTGGAATTAGGAACTTATCTGGAATTGTTAACTGGTTTAACGCGACTAGTTGATATAAAAACACCAATTGTCGTCCTTCTTCCTGACCAGTAACACTGGACTAGCATACGGGCTGCTGCTAGGTCGAATATTGCCGGACGCCGTCATATCAGCTACTAACTTTTCAATTTCTGCCTTCTGAACCTGCGGGCACCTGTACGGCTGTATGTTTGGCGAGGATGCACCATCCTGAAGTACTATGCAATGTTCCCGTGCCCGTTTTTGGGGCAACCCCTCGGGTGAGCTGAAAATTGTGCGGTATTCCCGGATAAGCTGCTCACAGCGTGCCGAAATTGGGCGAATTTCTCCTTTTGGCTCCTCGTCGATTACAACACAAATTTCCAACAATACCCCAACCCCTATAGTGTTCCAAATGCGTGACAAGGAACGCAAACTGACCGGGGAGTAACTTAAAGAGTGATCCCCCATCCAGCAAATCCAGTATGTTCCTTTCTAAAATCTCTTGGTAAACTTAGCCCAATCTGCCCGCACCTCCCCTAAGGTCTTCAGCCAAGAAATTCCTAAAACCAAATTAGCACTGCCCAATTCGAAAGGGAAGAAATCCTCAACTACCCAGTATCCCTGGACCAATACCATCACTCCTCGGCACACACCACACTGTTTGAAACTCATCTCATTGCCCACCTCAATCTTGTGTCAAACCGACGAATCCGTAGGTATAGCTAGTTGGTGCACTAAATCCGCATCAATGAATCTGTGAGAGGCCCCACCATCCACCAAAATTATAACCTCCCGATTCCCCAGGGTTCCTTTCAACTTCATCATCTTTGTCGTGGCTATACCTTTCAGGGAATGTAATGATAATCCTAGGGCTTCCTCACCTTTACCGCCCGTAACCTTGGCCGTTTCCTCCTCTTCATCCTTATACTCTTCCTCACTGGCCTTGTCTTCCTCGAATGCGAGAAGGACTTGTAGCTGTCGATTCTTGCATCTATGGTATGGGTTGAATTTCTCATCGCACCTAAAACAAAGCCCACGAGCCCGCCTCTGTTGAACCTCGTCGTAGGACATGCGCAGATAATTAGGACTGACGTTCGCCGCTGAATCGGTCGTCGGTGGAGCTTCGCGAGTCTGAGGCGTTAACCCTTAGTCTCGCCAATTTTGGGATCAAAGAGAGCTCTCTGATTTTTTTGCAGAGCTATACGACGTCGGATTCAGGGATGGGTTACTAAACCCGGTTCATGCGCCCAACACCAGCTGGATAGTTTTCCCCGCCCGATCCCTCCGGATCCAATCCACAACATTCAACCTCTCTTCTGCTTGCTGGGCCAGGTCCATAGCTTCTATCAAGTTGTTGGGCCTGTGCATTTTAACCTCAGCCCCTATGTCCTCCTTCAGCCCGTTTATGAAGGCTCCCTTGAAAAAATTCTCTGGGATACCCCTCATTGAAGCCGCTAGTGACTCAAACTCCTCCCTATAGTCCGCCACCAAGCCGCCTTGTCGTATAGCCATCAACTGCTCGGTCGGATCGCCCTCTCGAGAATGGCCAAAGCGCTGGAGGATAGCTTCCCGTAAGTCTTCCTAGCCCATGAAAGGCTTTTGCGCGTCAAGCCATTGGAACCATCCTAAGGCCCTTCCTTCCATGCAAACCGAAGCGGCCACCACCTTCTCCCTCTCGTCAATGTCATTAATGGCAAAATATCGTTCAGCTCGAAAGACCCATCCGTGCGGATGTTCACCGTGAAATAAAGGAAGTTCGAGTTTCTTACCCTGATGTTTAACCCGTACGCGAGGCCTTTCCGGTGACCGATAACGGTTGTAGCCCTCCCTTCCTCTCGCATGTTCCCTTCTCGGAGGACTCAGATCAACTTGAGCTGGCCGGCCGGGTTCACGTCTTGGTAGAATTTGATCTTCCGAGAGTCTCCTAAGAGGAGACTTGTCTTCTCTTGGTCGCCGTGGGGTGAGTGGTAGTTCCGAGCTTGTCGTATCATGAGCTCCTCGAGTCTGTTGATGGTGCCTTGAATTCCTTCCACCTTGGCTCCCACCACAGCAATCTCCCCTTGCATCTCGCCAATCCGTACTCCCATGGTAGCCACTTCCTCCTGCAATCTAGGTACCGGATCCACCATCGTTTCGAATGCTTGCAGAGTATCTTGGAAACTGTTCAACTGTCTCTCCAAGGACGCCAAACGATCAAGCTGGTGCGCCATGGATCGGTGCTCTAATACCAACTTGTTAGGATTCTAAGTAGTTTATCTGGAAATTGATACAAATTGAAATGAACTTTAACGAAAATGGAAGAAATGAACCAGGAAATAGATCTAGTTACTTTATTGATGAAGAAAACGGAAATACAAGATAAGAGGAGAATTCGAGGACCCTCAAGCCTCCAGAAATAGCTGAAACCAATGCAGAAATCTCGATCCCTTTCCTTCCCAGGGCTGGGCTATTTATTCTTCTAGCTAGTAACTAACTCCTCACCCTTTCTAACTGAACGTGCCCCCCTAGCCCTACCCAATCACCCAAAACCGAATGTCCCAACTGAATTACTCATCCCAACGCTAATTGTTACCCCAAATTACCAGACTATCCTTGCTTGTCTTTCTTCCTCCTTCTAGCGTATACAAACTTAAGAGGTGGGGACCTATCAGTTTTGCAAGATGCAACAAAATCAAATGAAGTAAACTTTGCATTTATTGTTTGCTCATTTGACCGTGCGAAGTTTCAGGTTTTGTTCGTTTCACTATACAAATTATAACTCAAACTTTTTGTTACAGTGTTTTCTCTCTGTCACAGTGTTTTCTCTCACATGAGTTCACTTTTCAATTAAGTTTTGAACTCGAACGAGCGAAACGAACGGGATTGGTTAATTTAATTAGTTTAGGTCATTAGTAGCGAATACATTAAGCCCCCGTTTAGTTCGCTAGTTTAAATTTTATTGATTTGAATAGAAAAATTCAAACTGTGTGGTTTAAAATGTAGTTTGAATTGACGTTTTGAGGTGTAGTAAAAGTTTTAATTTGAACATAGAATAAAATTTGAATTTGTGTTTGGTAGAAATTAGAAAATTGTACAGAAATTGGTGAATTCTTGAATGGGTTGGTTAATTTAATCAGTTTAGGTTGATAGAAGCAAATACATAGTGAGAGCATCAAAGCATTCGGTGAGAAGACTGGAAAGGAGAAGAAATATAAATCCTTTGTCAAATGTCGTATCTCATTCTCTAAATACCACATTGTCAGGCCTTCAAAGCTTTGTCTATAAACACAATTTCTGAGTTGATGTTTTGAATTGCAGAGCTAATAATAGTACTATGGAGATTAGGATCTCATGGCAAAAAGGACTTTAAAGTGAAAATTCAAAATTTTCATCAACTTGGGATATTTAATTCTCTGTCCATCTATTGTGTTTTTGTACCACATCATCTTAAATTTGAACTATAATGTGATAATAAAGTATGCAGTGGACAAAGTAATTTGACGAAAAGTCTTGGAATCTTTTAATCTTAGTAAAGGGGACTAATGGGAAATTAATGCATAACTATGATCAGCCTTTCAATGAATACTTCTTCCCAGTAAAGGCTTGAAATTTTGGCTCTTCCGCCTTCTGAGGAGCCTCTTGACTGTTGTTCTTTGTGGCAACCTTAACAAGCACAAGTACTTATTAGACACATTTGTACATGCATAAAAATTAGACGGGCCACAAATTAACATGTGCCAAGACAAACCTTTGGGGTCTCTTTCTGGCACTGGTTGTTGGTACTAGAACCAAAGACAAGCTTTCCAGAATGTTGACGTAAACTTGGCGACTCTGAAACCATGGTTCCGTTTTTAGCCTCTACTTGTTGCTTGTTGACCGCAGAAGAGGAAGCCAATGGAACCGATTGCATTGAGGATTTTCCATCCAGGCGTCTTGATGAACCCGAAAATGGGCTGAATTTTGCTATCTTTAGAGGGGGTTCTTCTTCAACTGACAAGATAAACACAGTTTTAAATAAGATAAAAGTTGAATGTCAGAAACCAAAATTGATTTTATTCTTAGATAAAAGGAAAGGGCGAGGAACCTTCTCGTGGTTTCTTGTTGGACAAAGTTGATGATGGTGCTGGTTTTTCAGGCTCCTTGTAGTCAAGAGGTGTGGCAAAATCAACCTCACAGTCAGTTTCAACTATGCTTACTGCATTGGATGGTTTTGTCTCAACTACATTAATGTAATACTTCTTATTGTTGTAAGGAACCATGATAGTGTCACCAGTGGTTAAACAAGAGTAGCTCCTCAATGTGGTCTCCAAGCTGCAAAGAAAAGAAAGTTGAGGAAAAATATAGTGATAAAGGAAGTAAGAAACTATCAATTTTGCTGTTACTGAAATAAGGAAAAATGCGAAAGATGGATATAACGGACATGGCTTTGGGATTAGAGATATCTAAGAAGTCCTTGGTGTGAGGCTGCAACTTCACATATGTTCCTTTGGCGAGGCTTGTACTTTTCAATTGAACTTTGTCTCCCTCTTGTAAAAGCATGTTCTCCATCATCTTCAAGCAGTACAAAATTGAAAGAATCATAGAAAAGTTAGAAGCCAAGTAACAAGAGAGTTGTGACATTTTTAAGCACAAAATTGTACTTACCCAGTATGGTAAATATATGAGGCCCTCATCAGCAACAAATTCCAGGACCCCGCAATGAGTGACTCGTCTGGCAATAGGATTGTTGAGCTCAAACAACATGGGGTAGTCAATCCGTAAGTTTGCTGAAGAAAAGGAAAAAGAAGAAGAAAAAATGTTTCAGAATTGACATGAGGCTGTAGTGGCAGGAGAAATTAGAAGTGTTTGAGTGTGACAAATTATCGATATACCGAGGCGATCAAGAGCTGAAGGGGGCATTATAACTGGAAGAACCAAGAAATCCAATAAGTAGAATCATACAGAACTATTTAAAACAGTTATGACATATGGAGAAAAAAGAACAAAAAGGCATGAATAGCATAAAAGAAAGTAGTCAAGTGGATAAACATACTTTTGTCACCCTTTTCCACATGAGGCTGCATAGGTGCAGAAAAATTGTTACTTGGTTTTAGACTTAAAAACAAATAAACTATAAAGACACAAAAGATAATTCAATGTGTCCTCAAACATAAAACTAACTAGTTCTCGAGGGATAAAACTATGGTACGACTAGCCTTTTATTCATGCCGTACAAGCAATTTATTAGGCATTAGACGATTGAAAAATCAATTAGAGCTGCTTTTGTCAGATGGGACCTAAGTTTATAGTTTTTTGATCATTGTCTAACACCTGAAAAATCGTTGCACAGTTTGACCGTATTTAACTGATCGTATCGTGGGCCGCGTCTTTGAGAACTCAAACGGGTACATGTTCAATGGTACATGCTTTCAAGTTCCATCAAGATTATACAGAGAAGTTCTCAAACCTTTTCAATGAATGAAACAGGGTAACAACGGTAGCTCTGCTCAAAGATGGAACGTCGGCGATCTTCATAAGCCTATAACCATTAAAATAATCAGATTTCTAAGTCAATCTGGAACTACCCACAATTCATATTCAAGATATATGCTCTTCTCTGCAATTATCCAACACTGTGGCATTAATAAAGATCATAATCTTCCACTCATTCTAATCAATGGCATTAAACATAATCAATCTCACATTCTAATATGAACAAAACAATTGATTTCCCAAAATAATGAATCAATAACGTACCATGATCACAACGCCTGAAAGGTCTCCGCTCACCCAAAAGATCACTGCCACTGTTTCCAAATCCCAAAAGAACATTGAATCATATAATGGATAAGAATAGAACCCAATTATCAATCTAAATCCTAAAAGTTTTTCAGAAGCAAAGGAAAAAAAAAAGTTGGATTAGTGAAACCCAGTATCTGATTACGATCAAAAGCATTAAGGTAGAAACGCCTAGAAATAATATTGTACGAGACAAAGTTGTGATTGTATTTTTCTCAAAAAAAAAAAAAAGTGATTGCATCTAAAGCCAACAAAAATAATTATATAAACTGTGATCGTAGAGTAAAAAGGAAAACTTTGGGGTCTGAAGAATATGTGACCTTGGCTTTGTTCTTTTTTGGGCAAACGAGATGAAGAATTTGTGACTTGAGACAGTGTGATATGCAGATGTGGTTCCAAAGCTTTTATAGAGAATGTAATCCCACAGCCACAGCGGTTCTGTGCTTGCCTAATGCCTTGTATGTAAGCCCCTGCCACAAGAAACTAGATATGGACTTCTGTCTTCTGCCCCCTAACTTCGACATCATTCTTATTTTACCCTCTAAATTTTAAATACTCTTGATTTACTCACCAAATTTATAATTTATTTCATTTAATTCCTTCTGTTAGAATATTTTTTTAAAAAAGAAAAAAAATAAGACCACATGATATCATTTAACCCCCCCTCCATTTTCATCTATTTTGATCATAAATTCTTACGGAGAGGCTTAAGCAGGACTAATTCAACATTTAGAGGTAAAGGAGGAGTTTTTAAAATTCTGTGGACTAAATGGAATATAACTCTAGAGTTCGAGGGTACAAGAAAGAACAATCCTCTCTAATAAAAAGAAGGGGTATTAGCAATTGTTAGTCGCTGAACTAGTAATATTGTGTATTTTGGTCTTTTTTCTCTTGGGACAAATTACTCCCTATAATTTAATTTTTATTTAGTAATTTTAGTCACTAACACTAAAGTTGATCTGGGATTAATTTTTTTTTTTTTTTTTGCTTGAATTAGTTGCTATTGTTTTGTTCAAAGAGTTTTGAATCTCTGCTTCTTTATTTTGGCGTTTAGTTGTGTCTAGTATTGTAAATAGGGTTTGCATGTTTTAAGCTACTTCTTTGAGGTCTTGAAGGTTTTATCTCTGAATTTCCCTCATCAAGGGAAACCCTTTTGGAGACGCGTAGTATTTTAATTGCAAAAGCCTAACTGACTCATCTTAGAGACTCTACTGCCACAAATTGGAGAACTTTCTACACTGAATCAGACAAACTTAACCACCTTTAGCAAAATCATACATATTTCTAATAATTCTAGAGTGAAATTTGAAGCAAGTTGTGACAGGAAGAAAGGATAGGCAAAAAAAAAAAAAAAAAAAAAAAAACTTAGATACACCTAATATAGTTTTTAGTTCATAGCTTGTTGCATGCATAAGAATTTGGTCATGATATTGATAGGAAGGAAGAAGATTCAGCGCTCTGCAACTGCAAGAGAGAATATCTGTTCACGTGCATTTCTTCCTCAAATTTTATTTTATTTCAACACTTACTAGGATCGTGTCTTTATACATGCAAACTACAGGAAAATAAATTTATAGGAATCTTCTCCAAGAATGTTTTTGCATCCATAAACTGGTTTGCAACAGATAAAATAGGTCTTCTGAGGATGAAGCCGAGTGTTCAAATATAGATAAACCATCTCAATAACCAAATAAATCACCCAGGAGTGTCCACGGTGATGAACAGGCATCAGCAAGTGAAAGGAAAGGCGGCTTCAAGAATCCGAAAGGTGGAAATCTGGATTGGAATCTCCTTAGACGATCGAATGGTTAGGCGATTGAGAATTGCATTCATAGTAGTTTGTATTTTGGTAATTGCTTCCGAGTCCAGTTGTATACGAAATCAAGTTATCATCGTAATTTAAGTATTGCATTCACTTATGCTGTTAGAGTACACTACAAATTCCTTGCCCACTGCTCCACACAACATAACAAAAGGAACAAAAAAAACACATATCTTACATATAGAGAGAAGAAACTCTCTCTCAAGTCTCACCATGAGTCAATAATCAAACAGGTCGCCAACAAGAAATAGCATGAAAGATCCTTCCCTTCCAGCCTTGCAATATCCACGTCCCATCCTCATCCACAACAAAATCCTTATGGTAACCTTTCCTTACCATGTTCTTCACTCTCCTCAGCAGCTCCTGATCCAGCGCCACCTTCTCGAACCCGGCCCGAACATTCCTCACCTGCCACTGCCTATACGTCTCCGGCCTCTCCACCCTCTGCAGCCCCTCGCACGCCACCACATTCATCACGTCCCTCCCGAACACCTCCCTCTCGAACATCAGCCTGTGCGGGTCATCCTTCTTTAGGCTCGCCTCGAACATGTCGAACAGCGCCGAGAAGTGGAACAGCGCCTCCCGAACCCTCGTCACGAAAAACGGCGCATTGTGAGTCCCGTTTACCACCCCGTGGATGAACAAGTCAGGACTAATCCTCCTGATCAGGTTCAGCACCGCATCCCGCGGACAATCCTCGATCACAGTCTCGTCCGGCAGGTTCTTCATCCGGTACAAGCAGTTCACAACCGTGACTTCCTCGTCCCTGTTAATCTTCAGCTCCTCGAGCTTGACCATCTCCCATTTCTTCGCGATCACGCTGTACTCGAACGGGACGTTGAACCTCTCGCAGTAGTTCGCCAATCTCTGGCCCGTCTGCTCGACGCGCTCCGAGGGGCGGAACCCGGACTGGGGAAACTCAATGCCGGTGATGCGCAGCTTGGGGGGCCCACCGGGGCGATGTGCGAGGCGTTGGATGAGGCAAGGCCACTGGTAACCGTATAGGATACCGAAGTCGATGATGTGGAGTGCGGTTGCTTGCTCCGCAAGCTTCGCGATCGTCCGGTTCGCATAGAAATTGGACATGAGCTTGAAAGGGCAGGCCTTGATGTACACCTGATAGGATTTCAAGATATCAGCCGCCGACGCGCCGTTGCTTCCTAGAGGGCTGTAAAGTGGGGTGCCCGCAGAGAATCGCGCCTCCAGGCCGTCGGCGAAGTAATGGGCGAGTCTCTGAGTGTCGTTGCCGTAGGGGGAGGAGTGTTGTCGTATTTGGCTCAGGAGCTGAATCGTCCTTTTTTGGTCGTAGCTCGCTACGGCTTGCGCGCATTGCGTCAACAATGTCGACAAATCAACCACTTGGTTTCTGTCGTTTCTTTTTTTCCTCTGTCGTGTTTTTCCCCTGCGACGTGACTTCCCCTTTTTGTCGGCTTTGCTGTCGTCGTCGTCGTCGTCGTTTGGAGGAGAGCAAAGTTCGGAGTCTTCTTCTTCTCGGGTCGGGTTCCGACAGAGCAAAACCTCGTCAAAGATATCCGACGACTCGGAATAGTCAGAATAAATCGCCGAGTGTTTGTTTCTCCTTTGTTCTTCTTCCGAGTCATCGCCAAATCCCCGGTTATGACTACTTTTCTTTCCCTTCGATTTGTCAAATATTGAAGGATAATCAACAAGAGAAGTTTGGAGATCATGATTAGAGGAACAAGAAGAAGAAGTATCTGGGTACTTCTGGCCGATTACATCGTAGAACGATTTTTCGGCGGTTTGGAGAGCCAAGCAGTCCTGCAACATGCAAGGCCTAGTTTCCAAGTCTTCTTCCATGAGGATCTCGCTTATGTACTTGAGAATTATGGTGTTGGAGATGTGCACGTTTTCCGAGGAGTCTCCCTCGGAACCCGAGCCAGGAGATGAAGAATATGCCTCGTTAGGAACCTCTGCATCGGCGAATCCATCGTTAAAGTCATGAACAAGATTCTGATTTAAGTGGATGGATGGTTCAAATCTGAATTTGTTCATGGAACCGAGGGTTTCTTCCAAAAGGGTGTCCATGAAACTGAATCCGATCAGCAAAAAAACTGGAAAAGAAAGAAGAATTTGATGAGCAAGAAATTGCTAGAAACTGGATTGCAAGAATTAAGATTGAGAGAGAATTCTCTATTTTCCACCACTTTGACTAGAAGTCTAGAAGTGAGCAAAGTAATATATAGTGTTAACCCTTTAAAAAATAGGAGATGGATAACATTATAGTACGGGAGCTTCTAGGAAGCTGTTGTAATGAGACAAAGAGAGCCGCCACCAATAATCTCATCTAATAATGGGAACCAAGAGAGCCACGAGGAAGGCAGTCTATTTGGACTTAAGACAGAGGAATGGCCCATGGTATGTTTTCGCTTTATTGATGAAATATATATTTTTTTTTAAAAATTGCTGAATTTATTTTTAATTAATATTTAAATAATTATATAAATAAAAAATTTAATTAAGAATAAAAAATAAAAATTTAAACTCAAGCCATTTTAAAAATAACTCCAGCAATTTTCTCTTTTTTTTTTTCTCATTTTAAAAAGTCTTGTAGTGGATCAGAGAAAAAAAAAAAAAAAAAAAAAAAAAATTTAAACCCAAAGCCATTTTAAAAATACCCCCAGCAATTTTCTCTTTTTTTTTTCTCAATTTTAAAAAGCTTTTTGGTGGATCAGGGAAAAAAAAAAAAAAAAAAAAAAAAAAAAAAAAAAAAGGTCTTGTGGTGGTGCTAGATATCTCTTTTTATGTTGGATCCAACAGAAACATGGTGGTGGGGATGAACGATAGGATAAGGAGTGTCTTGGGCGTCAAGTCTTTGACGGCCATACAACGCCGGGAAATGTAAGACAATTCTATTCTAGGAAATACATCATTCTCATATGTCCAGGCAAATTAAGGGTTCATGATAATTTAAATCAGGATAATTTAAATCATGATTTTAAAATCAAAACTATAATTCTAAAATTAGAATTATGATTCTAAAATCAAAATTATGATTCTGAAATCAAAACTATGATTCATGATTTTAAGTTTAAATCATGATTCTGAAACCATGATTCAGAATTAGAGATTTAAATCACCTTAAATCAATAGGGGATGGTTATAGAATCATAATTTAAGTTAATTTAAAACATCACATCAGATTCTGAATCATCCAAACCAAATACGGATCAGAATCATTATTCAGAATTATTATAAATAAACACTAATTTTGAATTAAAATTCAGAATCATGATTTTAAATTCATCAATTAAACGCACCCTAATACATATTATACTGCGTGTGTATATATAATATGTATTTTGCATAATGGTTGCGTCTAAAGAACAAATTCTTCCATTTATTTCTTATATTTGATACCATGTTCTTTTAGATTAATGTGGTGTGAAGAAGATTGTTTAGATGTGGACACATCACGATTCCGCCATGTATAATCCCTTTGCTGAATCACCAAAAAATAGAAAAATGAATACGCGTGTCAGTTTGCCGCTTACAGTCTTTTTTTTTTTTTTTTTTTAATTTTAGATCTTATAAAATTTGGGTAGCAAGTCATCCCTTTTTCCTCTCTCCCTCTTTTGCTGAAGTGGGTTCAGGTTGCTTCATTAAAAGCTAACTTTAGGGTCTCTTAAATCCGTTTTGTTTTAGAATTTAAACTCATGATTTTAGTTCTTTTTTTTTATTAAAAAAATTTAAATAAAAAAGTTTTCTTTAATAATTCTTTTATAAAATTTAAAATTAAAATTAAAATTATTAATTTAAACGCGATAATTTTAAAGATTAAACTTATAGTTAAATTAAGGCTTCCTAATAGTAAAACTGAGCGAAAAAAAAAAAAAAAAAAAAAAAATAAAAAAGTATTCCACTGTTAAGAAGGCTCTCCGTCCCCCCTGCCAATAATATTGAATTACTTGTTACTTTCGTAAAGTAGCCAAAGTGGTATTATCTTATAATATAGATGATGTCAGCTTTTCATTTATACTTCATTATTATGATTACACTTTCTTATATTAAAAAAGGTCACCAGTCAATTGACTAAATCAATCAAAACCACCTTTGTTTTTGTTGAAGATGTATTTGGTCGCAAAATAGTCTTTGAATAAAAACACCAATGCCACAACCAAATAACCAACCTCTGCTTTTATTACATTTTTACATAAATGAAAGAAATACTATATACCCAACTCAATATGTTCAATGAATACAGAAGAAAAGTAGATTTTGGAAAGGGACAAAACCTGTCAAGTTCATCATCCTGAACTATAGAGGATCGGTATTGATCATTTGACTTTGGACTTTCGTTTTGGAAGTTAATATAAACCAACTATTCTTGACAACTATCTTGACTGATTCTAGACCTTTCCATGCAAGAGGGAACCGGTGCAGGTAACATCTTTGAGAGTTCACATTAGTCTTTGGACTAATTTTTTAATCGGTAGATTTAATTAAAATTACATTAGATTAAAAAGTATTTACAATAGATAATTTTTGTACAGATATAACTGTTAAATAGTAAAGAATTATTAATAGTTCATTTTTACTGATCTTATCAGAAAAACTCCCTAGTCGTTTCAGCTAATTATGGTCAAAATATACAAAATGATAAAAGTTATAAAACTCACTCTACAGTTCTAAAACTCATAGAAGAGAATTATTGAATAGAGCACCAAATATGAAATTAAAATAGTTTTTCTGTTGGGTTAAAAACCCTTGAATAGTTTTTGACTGACATATTTTCACTAAATTCTATTGAATTTATTTATTCTTTGGTTTTGATTTTCAATATATTCTGACCGTTTAAAACTACATAATACTGATAGTTCTTTTTACACCCTTCGACAAACTTCCCTTGAAATTTTAATCACTACAAATTAAATTCCTGTAATTAGTTAATTGCATATAAATCAAGTGCAGTTGTTAAGGCCTGCTAAATGATTTTATATTAGACGTTAAAGAGGTATCTGCATATTTTGAGTAATGAAATTAATGCTTAGCATCACTTGGTTCTCCCGTAAAAGCTTTTTCATTCCTTTTCCCCTTTTTTTCCCCCTTTCTCGTTCAAAGCTAATACAATGAACTGAACACAAAAGACAAGGCAAAAGAAAACCAACAAGGAAGTTGAGGAAAGCAGGCTACAATTTAAAATCTTTAAGCGCTTGTGAAGAGCACCACCTCCTTCCAAGAGGCTAGAAAATAACAGAGCTCATTAGAACTTCATTTCCCAAATTCTGGTCCTACTCCTCAAGATATTTACTCTTGCTAGTAGGGCCTTTTTTTTTTTTTTTTGTGGTGCTTTTTCCTCACTTTGTGACTTAGTACTAATTTACATAACAAGTAAACTTTGACAGGTTAAAGATACGTTCCACAAAAGGAGAAATCCAGGAAAGGCAAGTCCATGTAGTCTTTACCATCGATTAGCTATATAGTTTTCCTTTCTTCAATCTTGGTGTATGATACAAACACCAAAAATCAATCAGTGAATATCAATACATGAAAAGAAAAAAACACAAGCATAAGACATTGATCTAAAACCTATTACTATCCAAAGGAAAGAGCGTGTCAATACAATATATCAGTTATCTAATGTTACCTTCAGAACATACTCTTCCTAGAATTACATAAAACTCTCACTCCAAAACTCCTAGCTAGACAGGTTTCCAACAGGAAATAGCATAAGTACGCCTTCCTTTCCATCCTTGGATCAACCACTGACCATGTTGCTCAACAACGAAGTCCTTGTTGTAACTCGAGCTCACCGTGTTCCTCACTTGCTTAAAGATTTCCTGGTCAATTGGGACCTGCTTGAACCCGGCCCTTGTGTTCCGAACTTGCCACTGCTTGTAGGTCTCAGGCCTTTCAACTCGCTCCAAGCCCTCGCAGGCTATGACATTCACTATGTCTCTTCCATATATCGCCTTCTCAAACAACATCCTATATTCGTCTTCGCGAGGCACAGTGGTTTCAAACATGTCAAACATGCTGGAATAATGAAAGAGCGCCTCTCGGAACCTTGAGGCGAAGAAGGGCGCGTTGTATGTCCCGCTACAAACGCCATGGATGAAAAGGGCAGGGTTTATGCTCCTTATTAACTTGAGGACAGTATCTCTCGGGTTCCTCACGACCACTGTTTCGTCAGGTATGTGCTTCATACGATACATACAGTTGACAACAACGAGCTCATCTCTTTCGATATTGAGATCCTCATAACTAATCGTTTCCCATTTCTGCGCAATCACGTTGAATTGGGATGGGACATTGAATCTCTTGCAGTAATTCTCCAGCCGACGCTTGGTCTCTCCAACCCTCTCAAAGGGTCGAAAACCGGGTTGGGGAAGCTCAATCCCAGTAATCCGAAGCTTGGGAGGTCCCCCTGGTGATCGGGAGAGACGCTGGATAAGGCCGGGCCACTGGAAACCATATAGAATACCGAAGTCAATGATGTGAATTTTTGTTGCATTCTGTGCAAGCTTCCTTATTGTTTGGTTTGCAAAGCAAAAGGACATCCTTTGGAAAGGGCATGCAGTGATGTAAACCCGGTGGCCTTTCAAGATATCAGTTGACGACATCTCGTTACTCACAAGTGGCGAATACAACGCTGTTCTCGTGCCCGTCAAGCGCGCTTCAAGCCCATCAGCAAAGTAATGAGCCAATCTCTGAGTTGAGTCTCCCTTAGGAGAAGAATGTTGCCTTATCTGCTTAAGCAAATCCGCCGCAGTTCTTTGGTCATAGCCGGCCACAGCTTGTGCACATTGGGTCAAAAGGGTCCACAAATCCACCATTTCCGCCTTGTTCTCTTGCTTCTTTGAGCGCGACGATTTGCCGGACCGCTTTGCCTGCTCATTGTGCTGCAACTTCTCCGCTCTCCCTCCATTCAGCGAACACTTATAAAGAGGATTTGGCTCATCGTTGTCACCATCATATAGCAGTACTTTGTCAAACATCTCTGTTGGCTCAGAATCATCACCAAAAACCGCCGATTGCTTGTTTCTCCTGCCCTCTTCTTGGTCATCATAATCACGTTCTCTCTGATTATTCTTCTTTCCATTCATCAAATTATACTCAAATATCTCCCGTTCACTAATCTGGGGTTTACCCTTTGGAAAAAATGATATTTCTTCCCTTATCTTTCCCCTAAACTTGCTAACAACAGATTGTACTTCGGAATTTGAATCTTGGACCAAAAGGGTATCCACAGAAGACCCAGAAAACGAAGTTTGGAAGCTACAGGATTCGGATATACCTGAGTTTTGGTCCACAGAAGAAGAAGAAGAAGAAGAAGGGTAATTCTGGCTAAGCACATCATAGAATGATTTCTCAGCAGCTTGTAGAGCCAAAGAGTCTTTCAACATCAGGGATTTTCGCTCCAAATCTTGCTCTTCCATAAGCATCTCGCTTATGAACTTCAAAGTCGCGTTATAGGAGTCACTATCACTCGGAGAACATCCCTCGGAAGATTGGCGAAGTTCGGTTTCAAAATTCCCATGGTGGGTTTTAGTTTCTTTTACAAAATCTTGATCCGAACGAAGCGAAATTGGATTGGGGTTGAATTTAAGTCCATCCATGGAAACCGGAAATCCTTCAAAAAGGGCATCCATCAAAAATACCATATATTTACAGAAAACAAAGATTGGAAGCAAATTAAAGGAAAAAGGATAAAGGCAAATGAATTACGACGATTATGAGGAGGGTGGTTGAAGTTGAAGAGAAAATAATAGTATTCACTAACCTCACGAGGGAAAGAAAATTGAGAAAAAAAGTCGTCGGCGAACGTGATTCTTAAGTCGTGAAGAAAAAGGATGGGTGTGAGAGACTACAGGGAAAGATGAAAGTAAAAAGAGAGAACCCGCCATAGATATTCGCGGGTAAAGATAACTAGACAAGTCTCCTTTTCGAACGGAGGAAAAGAGACATGTGGGTGGGTTTAAATTTTTACTTTTATTTTAAATTAATATTTTTTTAATTAAAGAATAGTTAAAATGGTATTAAGTAAAAATCATACTCATTCACTTCCAGTAATTTTCTCTTCGAATAAAGATGAATCTGATCTCAGGCCGTGAATGGAACATGGATGCAGTAAAGAAACACGCTTATTGTACCAATGAATATAAGCCAAACTAATAAATATCTTCTTAGCAACAAAAAAAAAAACTAACAAATATATTTCTCCACTCAGGGTTTGTTTGTTTTAGGATTTTGAATTCGGTTCAAAAAATTGAATTTAAAAAGTTTTATTACAGTGTTTTTTTTTTACAAAATATGAAATCTGATTTGAATCCTTAAATTAATCAGGCTTTAACGGGGCATATTTATAATTTGAGTTTTGTTACAGTAAAAAGCTCTCAGAAACAGACACATATATCTTTTTTGTTACAGTAAAAAGTTTTCACATAAAATCACATATCAACTTGAATTAAAAATTCGAATCAGCGAACTAAACGGGCATTTAAAGTTTATAATCTTCGGCACTTAGGCCCTCATTTTAAGAATTTAGACACTCAAAGTCTCAACTCTTAGGGCCTTTGATTTTAGTATTTGAACTTATAATTCTGATTTTGTCTTCTCACAAAAAATTTAAATAAAAAATGTTCTAGCCAATAAGTTTTCTCACAAAACTTAATTTAAAATTTAAATTATTAACTTAAACGCATGAACCAAACATACCATTAATATGTTGACATTGTTCGTTCTCATTTTAAGAATTTAGATATCATGTTCCCAAACTCATTAATATGTGAGGAGGACCGTTACTTCCCATCTTTTTTCAGTTGTTAAATGTCATATGTATTTTGAGGGCTTTTTTTTTTTTTTTTTTTTTGTGTCTTAAGTCCGTAAAAATATTTGTGGACATTAAGATCCTAAAAAACTCTCCATCTTTTGAAGAGTAACTTGTTATTTTTTAAAATCGAAAAATAATGTTAGAATGCCCAAATATAGACTTAATTATGATAAGTAATGACAAGGAAGCGATTGATTATAAACTAAGAAAAAAAAAAAAAAAAAAATATAAAAAAAAAAAAAAAAAAAAAAAAAAAAAAAAAAAGCACTCTCACAAATAAAAACGTAACAAAGAGAATACAAGTTGTGAGACGGAGGGAAGATTCAAAGATCAAATTGTCATTTATTTGATAATTTGGAGACCACGTGGACTGAGCACCTAATAAGCATTAGTGGTGATTAACATTTGGTTAAATGATTCAAATCATGTGATTCGAACCATTTTCGATTTACGTGAATTTTTTGTGAGAGAAAATACTATAGCGAACCATGAATCATGATTCGAATCAGGAAACGAATCCCTCTACCAAACATCCTCGTGAGAATTCTATTCTTGGATATGAAAATATGTTTTACCAATGAGGCTCTATTTTAACTATCATATTGTATTAGATTTTGTTAATTTTACATTTTTTTATTTTAATATGATTTTATCTGATAAAGTATGCTCTAACTCAGAATTACCAGTAATTAATATTATAAAACAAGTAATATTGTTAATTCACCATTTTAAAGAGTGTGGCGTGGTTAAAATTCAATTTACCTTGAAGACAATGTTTAATCCATAAGTTAACTTATAACCTTTGTACTTTTCTTGTATCTCTGGCCTCGATTCATTGTACAAACGCGTTGAAGAGAAGAATAGGGAAGAAATTCACTGCATTAGGGGACAAATATGAATCATTATGAAACGACGTTGTTTAATGAAAGAGAAAACGATGTTGGTCGTGAGACTTTAATAAAGAACTCGAGGAAACTGCATAATTGATAAGGAGCATAAATGAGACAGTGAATCTTTTAAGATAAATGTCTCGTTCATTTTACTGATTAGAATTTTATTATAGTAAAAAAATTTTAAAATAACATATCTAATTTTTTTATTACAGTAAAAAATTTTCACATAAAATCACATCTCAAATTAAATTAAAAACTCGAATCAACGAACTAAACGAGCTTTTAATTAAAAGTGAAATTCAAATCCAAGAAACGCGGAGAAGAAGCGGAGTGAATTGGACATCAAGGAAAACTACAAATACTAGAGGCAAAAATGGATCTTTTTCGCGATTTCCACCCACTGAAACTTTGACAATCTAGAAAGAGAAAATAACGTTTTGGTGAGAGGAAAAAAAATCAATTTAATTGATTTGGAGTTGAGATAAATTTTAACTCTTAACAATTATATTTTAGTAAATGGTTCGTTTTTGTTTTAGCAATGTTACTATTAAATTATTGTCCTAGATAAATATTAGTCAGGATAAGAATAAAAAGACATTTATGGCGGTGAGACAAGTCGCATCAATATAAAGAAACTATTCAAGTATAAAATTAGGTGTAATGCACCAAGAGGAAGCCTCAACAGAATTTTGTTGTTGTTTTTTCCCTAATGCGCAATGATACCGTAGAACAAATTATTCCATTCATCACCACTTGCTTCCAATGGTTTCTACTTTCTACATTCTAATATAACGTTCCTTGAAAGATTAAGCACAACTAAAATAAATTCCAATTTTACAAACAAAATAAAAAAAGTAAATTCCATTCATGGACAAAATTGTGTGTACGTGTGTGTTTTTCTTTTTTCCCATAAAAAATGAGTTTATAAAGGCGTGATACATTCCCACTAGTTTTGGTTATAATCATTGTTAGACTCCGATAGAGCTGTCAATTCGGGCGCTCAACTAGGCTTATTCGGGCCGAAAGAAAAGAATGGACTAGATTAGGGAAGGTCAGGGGAGGCCCCGTGCCCCGAAACTCACAGGGGTTGTACCGGGCCGACCCGTTTTTTAATATAGAGAAAAATACATGATTTTATACAAGTTTATTATTTATGTTATTTTAAATTTAAATGACAATTATTTATTTTTAAACAAAATAGTATTTCTAATTTTTTCTCTTTGATATAAGAAAATATTTTAAAATTTTAAAAACCTGAACCGTCCAATCCAATCTTTATGGGTCGGCCTAACAGAGCACCGAGACCGAGATGGGAGCTTAGACTGACCTGTTTGGCTTGATCTAAAGGCTCTAGTGTCAGTTCAACCCTTTGTTGGACAATAGCTTAAAGTCCCCACTTCAAATTAAAGTTACCAATTGATTTTTGTTTTGTATTTATCATCATGTTAATGCTTATTTCACATTAAAATCTTTAATCAAAAGTAAACCACCTATAATTTCGTAGAATTTAGTAAAAAATAAATACTTAAAAGTAGGAGCATAATAGCCTAACATTTAGGCATTGTTTACTTTCTAAACCTAATTAGCTATACTATATATATATATATATATACACATATATATTCAGTAAAAAGTTACATAAATATCTCTAGTTTTTGAAAAGAATCCTTTAAGATTGTTGTCTATTCACATAAATGAAAGAATAGCACAATGATGAATTCAATCTTTTGAATGAACACAGGAAAAATGTATAGATTTCACAACGGTGCCAAATCTGTAAGACTCATAGTGAATCAATCGCGAAGAAAATTGAGCTATCATCTAGAATGCTTCTTTGTCATCTGAATATATTTGATTTGGACCTTCCTCTTTGGAGCTAATTTACAAGTAACATGGAATTTCCCCTCGTGTGGCTATCATCTTCGAGAAAAGTCTTCTCATTAGTTTTTCCGTTTTATTCAATGATCAAATTATACTATATATTATAGGAGGCAGTTCTTTTATTGTTTCTTAAATAGTATCGGTCTTTTTTTCCTTAAACTTTTAGGAAATTCCGTTTATGTCTTTTCACTTTTATTTTTACTGTTTTACCCTTAGCTTCATATTCCTTCATTGTTTTTTGTTTAGGGGTTTTGGTCATTTCCGTCGAACTGAAGCTTCTAGATTTTGTTTTTGTTTGAACAGTGTCCGGTCCTTTTCGTTTCTCAACTTTTAAAAAATTTTGTCTGTGTACCCTCACTTTTGTTTTTACCGTTTTGCCATCAGCTTCTTATTCCTTCATTGTTTTTTGTTTGGGCGTTTTGATTATTTATGTGGTATATACTAAATGTCTTAGAAAACTTCTCAGAGAAACTTTGTTAACCTTTTTCTTTCCTTTTTACCCATCTTTTTTTTATTTATTACTCATTTAGTATTAATTGAAGTGAGAAAGTGTACTTTAAATAGTGCACATTTAACCAAAACGATATAGTTTTGGTTGAAATTGTACATCTTTCTCACTTTTTTTTTAGTCTTTTATTTTAGGTTTTTTTTTTTTAACTTTTCATCCTATAACTTATTCATTTTTTTTTATTTTAGTCCTTTTAACTTTTTATTTTTTTCTTTTTGTTCCTCACCTTTTAAACAATTCCGTATGTGTCCCTCACTTTTATTTTTACCGTTTTACCCTTAGCTTCTTATACCTTCATTGTTTTTTGTTTGGGCGTTTTGGTCATTTATGTGGTATATACTAAATGCCTTAGAAAACTTCTAGAGAAACTTTGTTAACCTTTTTCTTTCCTTTTTTGCCCCTCTTCTTTTTTGTTTATCACTCATTTAATGTTAATTAAAGTTAGAAAGTGTACTTTGAATAGTGCACATTTAACCAAAACGACATAGTTTTAATTGAAAGTGTACATCTTTCTCACTTGTTTTTAGTATTTTATTTTAGGTTTTTTTTTTTTTTAACTTTTCATCCTATAACTTATTCATTTTTTTTATTTTAGTCATTTTAACTTTTTTTTTGTCCTAAAATTTTATTTTTATTTTCATTTAGGCTCCTTTTGCCTTAAAATTTATTCATTTTTCCCTTTTAGTTTTTTATTGACAATGTTTCTTTGCTTCTTACTCTAAAACTTATTTATTTCTTCATTTTAGTCATATTTTATTTTATTTTTACTTTTTGTCCTGAAAATTTTCCCTTTTTTGTTCATTTTCCCCTAAAACTTATTTATTTCTTCATTTTCATCCTTCTTTGACATCTTTCTTATTTTTACCTGCAACTTGATTTATTTTTTTTTTTTTTCATTTTGACTCCTTTTGCCTTAAAACTTATTTACTTCTCCATTTTATCCTTTTTTTACTCTTTTTTTTTCCTAAAATTTTATTATATTTTTGGTTTTGGTTCCTTTTACTCTAAAATTTAGTTATTTCTTCATTTTTTGACCATTTTTTTATTTTTTTCTTAAAACTTTATTTTTTTTGCTTTTGTTCCTTTTGCCCTAAAACAATATTTATTTATTCATTTTAGTCCTTTTTTGACTTTATCTTGGATTCTTACCCTAAAAATTATTTTTTTTCTTCTTTTGATTGCTCATTAAAATTCATATTTTATATGTTTTTAATTATAACATGACAATTAGTTAATTACAATTTAACACACAAATTATTTGGCCGTGGAGTTCAACTAATACGTACTATAAAGAGCAAAATACTCAATTAGTTTTTTTTTTTTTTTTTTCCTTTTTGCTGGTGAAAAAAAAAATGTCCTTGCGCCTTCTGCGCCGACAGTCACTTAACAATCTATTAGGACTACAAGTGCAAGAGAAAAAAACCTGACTAAAATAATTTCATCAACTAGCATTAAGAGAATCTAAAAGCTCATCAACCCAAACCATATTTGACACGTTGATAAGATGCATAATTTTAACCTCACATGATAATGAGAATCAATTTCTAGATAATAAGTGAAAGAGCGCTGATGATTGTCCTTCGTTACTATGTCGCCTACACCTGCGGTGAATACTCAATTAGTTAAATATTGCACATGATTACAGCCAAAAAAAAAAAAAGGAAGGGAATTGCACTTATAGAACGTGCTAGGATGCTATGACATGATTTAATTAATCCATTCGGATTCTTTGGCTGCTCTCTAAAACCTCTTTCCTTCCTTTCTCGTTTTTCACTTTTTTCTTCCACTTAGCTTTTTTGTTTAAAGATGTGACTAAAGTCTAAACAAACGAACAAAAAGCAGAGGAAAGCAGATTATAATCTTCACGCACTGATTAGTAAAGTGCAAATGCCGCCTCTTAGTCCTAGAAGCTAAGATAGAATAGATGCAAACGCACGACCAACCTTTTATGTTATTATTATTTATTTTACCTTTAGATTAGTGTGGCCCAAATTCTGGTCCGATTCCTCCCCCAACACCTGCTCATCGTGCCAACTGAATTGAATACCTTTTGTAAAGAAGAAGCCGATGATTAGTCTTTTTAGTCTTTGATCCATATCATCGAACAAGTTGTCCTGCTTTCCTTTTCTTTTTGTTCCCCTCACTGTCTTTCCAAACATAAAAACAACGACAATATAATGATACACACACACACACACACACACACACACACACACACACACACACACACACACACACATACACGCGCGTCATGAGAAAACTTATCAAGGCTAACAAAACAACAATTTCTATTTTATAGCTAGACTTCATAGAATTTTGACACCATACATCGTGATTTTCATTATAAGACTTTTCACCATGTACAACTTCTCCAACAACAGTGAAAACAAGAACATAAATATGGGTTTATCTAATATCACTCTTAAGATTTACAGGAGTCATCCACCCTCAAATACATATCTTCTTCTAGAAGCAAACCACCCAATGAATCACTCTGAATCCAAACCCCTAAGCAGTTTGGTTTAAAGTTTGAATCGCAATTCAAACAATTTTACTACAGTTTTTTTTTCCATGAAATTCGAATTTATGTTCAAATTTTCCATTCAAATCTATGAAGCAACCGGGCTAATTATTTATGCAGCCTTCCAACATGAAAGAGCATAGATACGGCGTCCTTTCCAGCCTTGCAGCAACCACTGGCCATCTTGTTCAATAACAAAATCCTTATGGTAACTCGACCTCACGGTCTCCTTCACTGCCTCAAAGATCTCCCTATCAAGCGGGATTTGCTTAAACCCTGCCTTTATGTTCCTCGCTTGCCACTGCTTGTAAGGCTCAGGCCGATCAACTCTCTCCAACCCCTCACAAGCCACCACATTCACTATGTCCCTTCCGTATATCGCCTTCTCAAACTTCCTCCTGTACTCGTCCTCGCGAGACACCGTGGTGTCAAACATGTCGAACAGCCCCGAGAAATGGAGGAGCGCCTCCTTGAACCTCGCCCCAAAGCACGGCGCGTTGTATGCCCCGTTCACAACGCCATGGATGAAGAGCTCCGGGTTTATTCTCCTTATCAATTTCAAGACACTGTCTCTCGGATTGCTCGTCACCACGGTCTCATCAGGCACGTGCCGCATACGGTGCAGGCAGTTCACCACCACGATCTCGCCGGGTTCGATTTTCAGATCCTCGTAGCGGATTGTCTCCCATTTCTGCGCAATTACATTGTACTCAGAAGGGACATTGAATCTATCGCAGTAACTCGCCAATCTTCGCTTAGTCTCTTCGATCTTCTCCGCAGGCCTAAACCCTGGTTGAGGAAGCTCAATGCCGGTTACACGAAGCTTGGGAGGTCCTCCGGGTCTCTGCGAAAGGCGTTGGATTAGGCCAGGCCATTGGAAGCCGTAGAGGATACCAAAATCGATGATGTGAATCCGTGTGGCCTGCTGTGCCAGTTTCCGAATTGTGCTGTTGGCGAAACAGAATGACAGTCTGAAGAAAGGGCAGGCAGTGATGTATAACTGGTAGGCTTTTAGGATATCAGATGAAGACAACTCATTATTCACGTGGGCCGAATATGAAGGCATTTTGGTACCAGTCAAGCGTGCCTCCAGGCCATTTGCAAAGTAATGAGCCACTCTTTGTATTGAGTCTCCACAAGGAGAAGACAGTTGCCTTATCTGCTTGAGAAAAGTATTCGCATTTCTTCTATCGTAATTTGCCACAGATTGGGAACATTGAATCAAGAGTGTCCATAAACCAGCCATTTCTTCCATACTTTGACTTGTTTTAGCATACCCTTTTTCCTGCTCATTCAGCTGCAGCTTCTGCGCTGATTTGTGAAGCGAATTCGGTTCGTCACTGTCGTCGTCGCTGAGTAAAACTAAGTCGAAAATCTCCGCTGGCTCGGAGTCGTCACCGGCGTAAACCGCCGATTGCTTGTAGCTCCTCCTACCTAAATCTTGATCATCATCATAATCATATTCTCTCTGACGATATTTCTTTCCACTTTGTTGTGAATTTTGACCAAGTTTACTCAAGTCAACGATCTGGGGTTTTCCCCTAAACTTGTTGGCAACAGATTGTACTTCGAAACTTGAATCATGAACCAAAAAGGTATCTAGAGAAGACCCAGAAACAGAAGTTTGAAAGGATTCAGATTCATACTCGGATTTACCTGTGTTTGTTTGGTTCATAAAGGAAGAGGGACAACTCTGGCCAAGCGCATCATAGAAGGACTTTTCAGCAACTTGGAGGGCCAAAGAGTCCTTCAACATCAACGCTTTTCTCTCCAGATCTTCTTCTTCCATGAGCATCTCGCTTATGAACTTGAGAGTACAATTGAAAGAGTCGTTGGATTGGTGAAGATTGGTTGGAATTTTAGGCGGTGGTTGTTGAATATTTCCATTTTTGGTTCTGGGATTATTTGATGGGTTCTGGTTTGAATTAAGTGAAGTTGAATCTTGGCTCAAGTTAAAGCCATTCATGGAAAGGGAGTATTCAAATCCTTCGAAAAGGGTATCCATGGATGAGAAAAGTTTTGCAACTTGGGAAACAAGTTTTCGAGTAGATCAAGATTTGGGCTTCACAGAAGAGAAGTTCAGAAAAAAGCTAAGGTTTTTACAGAAATTGTTGTGGAAGACAGAACCGGCCATAAAAGGTGTAAGTTCTTGATGAATCTTGTCTGAAGTTTTTCTGAAAGTAATGCTGAGGAACCCACCTGTCCCTCATATTAATTTTTCAGACGGCAATCACTTTCAGACAGCAGTGATTACAGGACATTACACGGAAAGGAACAAATGGGTGATAAAATGCACAGAACATCAAAGTTAGGCGATTGAGTTTTTAATTTGAATGAAGATATAATTTTATATGAGAATTTTTTTATTATAATAAAAAAGTTAAATATGATTAATTTTTAAAAATTTTTATTATAATAAAATTTAAATTTTAAATTTAAATTAGTAAAATGAGGTCAAAATAATTTAATAATTTTTTAGGTCTATCTGCAATAAACTATAACACTATTAGTATACATTTTCAACCGTTAAAATCACATTAAAATAAAAAAAATATAAAATAAATAATTTTTTAATATAAATTTGATAATTAAAAAAAATTTATTAATAGTTTATTTTTTCACTTTTCAACAGTTTACCTTTTAAACTTGCTAAATTGTTATAATAATGTACTTGTTTATAACTTTTTTTTATTGGATTCAAAAATTGCTTTAGAGATATGAGTAATTTGTGTTTCGTGGGATTTTTCATTTGTTAAATTGACTGTCCTTGGTAAAGTATGGCATATGGTATTAAAATTAAAAATTTAAGGGTAAATTGTCAAAACTCAAAAATTGAGAGGTGAAAGTGCTGAAATCCTGGGAATTTCAATACCTTAGTCCACTTGTCATTTTTTAATTTTATCTTGTGGAAAACTTCTTTGTGCGAACGTGAACAGTGTTAGAACTTTGGACCGATCGTCTGTGATTGTCCGAAAAAATTAAATTTGTGCCCGTCGCCTAAGCCCGCCCGCCTGAACCCGAATTTATCCTTAAACGGGCTTCGGACAAGTCTTAGCTGCTCGAAGCCTGAGCCCGCCAGCGCTGCCTGAATTTTTGTTTATAGTTTTTAATGTTATATATATATTATATAATATTGTTTATTAATTGTATTTGTATATAAATAATTATTAAGTTATTTATTGTAAAAATTATATAAAAATTATAATTAAGATTAAAATCAACACACACTATTAACAAAAATTAATTCAAAAAATTAGAATTGTTTATTAATTTTTAAATTTGTAATTCATAATTGTCTCGTTAAAAACCTTACCAAGAAAAACTCAATTAGGATAAAAACTCGGTAAGAAAAAAAGAGTGCAATCATTTTGTGACGAATTACAAATTTTACAAAATTACAAAATCTAAATATTACAATTATAATGTCCAAAGCAAATAAATATTTAGAAATTACAATTTAATTTGAAGCTGAAGGATCGTCTTTAAAGTGAAATATTAATCAATTAAATTCATCTATTCATTCCTGACTTACCGGTGAAATTGTATCTTGTAAACGTTGATCGACACGATCCTAATCCTTAATGCACACCAAAGCTTCAACAATGTCCCTTTGCAATACGTTTCGCCGTTCCTCAAGTATTCGTCTGGTTGAACTAAAGGCTTGTTCGGATGAAACAATATCCTGCCGCAACCGCCACCATCTCTTGATGAAGATCCACTATCTGCTTCTGTTTGAGTCTTTTTCTTTTTCTTCAACCCAAAAACATTCATGAATGAATGCGGGTTTTCATCTCTTTGTTGCGGTTCTTGTACTCCAGAAGCAGTGTTTCTAAACTTATTCTCATAAACATTATAGAGAAATTTTTTTTTTCTTTATTTTAGGAAATTGGTCAGAACAATCAATGTCTAAAATTTCACCTATGTTTTTTAAACCTTTTAATTTTAATCTAGGATAAAAAATAGTACCGAAACCATACAACATTGACAATTTAGACCAATATTTTTTAAATTTTTTTTCCATAGAAGCGATAGGAACTCCTAAAATTGGGTCCTTCCTAAATTCACTAAATAAAATACTAATTCTTAAAAGTTCACCTAAAGCTAAATGTGACGTTGGGTAATATGTTCCACTAAGTTTTAAAGCAACTTCATGAAACCTACCTAAAAATTGATACAAAGTTTCGACAATTTGCCAATCATATGCGTCTATATGTCATGTTCCTAATTTTGCACTAATATAGTTTGTTATAGCATCCTTATTGTAACGACCCTCCTGAGTGGCTGTCATTGTTACTAACTTTAACATATACTTTTTGAAACTCTCCAAAATTTGAGGGATATTTTTATTTAAATGCTATATAGAATGCTATAGCATTTTTTTTAAAATGTTGTATAGAATCTTGTAGCATTTTTTTTAAAATGCTGTATAGAATGATGTAGCATTTTTTTTAAACTGACTGTAATGACCTAAATTCTAGTTTCCACTTTTGAACATAGCAAAGTGTTTATACTTCAAAAACAATTCCTTTTCTAAAGCATAAATTTACACATAGGTATATTTTTGCTTTTCAAAATCCTGCTAGCTTACATAAACTTAACAATCATACTACAAACTTCCAAAATAGAAGTTCATAAACATATTCAACAAAATCTTTTTTAAACTTTAAACTATTGCGAAAATAACTGCGCGCGGTATCCATTCCCCGACCTCCATTCCGCTCGCCCGCTGCTTCGCCATCAGTCCATCAAGCATTATGTGCAGGTTGCTTACCTACAGTATAAATACTCTAAAATGAGCTTTCGCTCAGCAAGTAGTAACTATTACTCGCAAAATAACTAAAAGTTCACATGAATGATATGCATGAACAGATTATGCTGAATTATGATTTCTTATCATAGATTTATTATCTGGACTTATCTTTCTTACTGATAGACCCGAGTGCTCGTACCATTGCACACGATATACGGGACGTGTGGGTTCATAAGGCCCCTATCGACTCCATAGTTAAAACTGAACTGAATGCCTCACTTGGGCTAGAGTACCTCTCATCTAGGAGGCTCTGAATTACCTCTCAAATAGGAGGTTCTGGAACTGGATTACCTCTCAACTAGGAGGCTAGTACGACATTCAACTGAGATTATTCTTATAAGTTTCCTTGACTTATTAAGGTGTATGCATTATGACATAGCATAGCATACTATAACATGATATGTACTCTAACACATATAAGTCATATGTATTGTTTATTTTAAAATCTATTTAGACTGTAGGTGAGATTCCTACTTACCTGTTTTAGGAAGTGGAATCCTCTATTAGCCCAAAAGTTTGTTCTCTTTCTTTCTTGTTTCTGAGACTGAACACCCACTAAGAGTGTGAGATTAACTATCACTTACTAATCTATTTTAGCAAGCTTATAAGAAAGTCTAACTTATCTATTTATGGCTCGCTTTCTCTTTTCCTATCTTAAGGATTGTAAAATCTTGTTTCTAATTTAAAGATTAAGTTTATTGAATCCTGATTACCTTACTTTTTTATTAGCAAAGTCTGAAATTGACATATTTTCCTGAGATTATACTTTGAGTTCTTCAACGAACTCCTCTGTTCAACACTAAAACTGTTTTAACACTTATGTAGTGTTTTTCTAAGAAAATAGTTTAAAACTTCTCTTTAGAACTAAAACCAAGTTTAATCTCAAATTCTAGAACTAAAACTAGGTTTAACTTTAAATTCTCAAACTAAATTTCGGCGGAGTTTCGCCTTATTTTTATGTGTTTCCCGAGCTATCCTTAGCTCGTTTTATCCGTTACTTCATCTTCTAAACATAACTAACAATCTTTCTCACACAATTTAATCAACTTAGGAACCATACTCTAGGGTTCCATCCAATTTCTCACAGGATTTTCATACCCAAAAGTTGCTAAAAACATAATCTAACAACCAAAATTCAACCTTTAATCACTAAGCTTTCAATTCCTTTATCAATTGAAATTCAATCATCAACTCAACAAACTTTCTCCATACGCTCTACCACATCTAAACCATTCGGCCAAGGTAAGAAAAAGGAGAGGAAAACTGAAATATCACCTTAAAAGAATGAAGAACAAACTCTGGAGTCACCAATACTCGGTAGTTCGACCGATTCCCGCTTAAAACTTCCTTTTCTTCACTTTTGGTAATTTTTTTCTTCTTCCTTTCTCTTTGGCTGAGTTCTCTCTGTTCTTAGCATTAAAAATGAACATTTGATGGTATTTTTACCTCTTAAAAACCGGACTTAATAAAGTGGGAGGACTAAAATGTAATTTTTGCACTTTTGAGGGACCTTTTTGTAAAATTTCATCAAATTTCACCAAAAATATCTTTTCTTTCCTTCTTCACTAAGCTTGGCCTGCCACCTTCATTCCACATGCCTCAATCTCAGCCCTTCATTTAATTTTTTTCACCTTAAATCTCAACCATCCATTTCTAATAACTATTTTATTTTGGTTCAGTTAAATTCCTATCCGGTATGCGTTTTACCCGCGTTTTTTAGACAGTTAGTCAACAAAGTCAACTTTGTTCAACCTTGACTATCCTTTCAAGGGTGACTTATTAATTGACTCTTGGTCAATAAATTTTGACTTGGTCAACCCTATTCGGTCAAAAACCTCAATTTTCTCGGTTCGTCCGTTTTTCGTTCTGATTATTTCTAAAACCCTATAATTGATGTTTTTCAATTCTTGTTCACTTCTTAACCTTAAGATTCATGTGTTGGCCCACTTGTGGGTTTAACACAGCATTCTGCACATCCTTCCTTATTGCAGTCTGAAAGTCGGTAACAATATCTTACCAAACTTAAATTTCTAAACATAAGCAACGTTTAATGAACACGTGGTAATCACCCATTGGTGTTTTATTCTTATAGCTATTCTTATTACTTCATACTGACTTTTTGGAATTTACTTAGTTGACAGGAAATTTCAGTTCTCGACTTTATCAACTTCTGAACTCATATTACATCTGAATTTCTTTACTGAAACATTACCCCTTTAATTTCCTCTTATATGTTTGGATTTAAGGGTTTTCCTCTTTAAATGTCAGAGCGTTTCTCTATACGTTGCTAACATTATACTGCACTAAGAGATTCCTGAGATTAGGATTTTCAAACTGTATATGCACGGAAAATTCTTCCGCCTTAATTGCGGTGAGAATTTATCAACTGAATTTACTTGTTCTGAACTCATCATAAAACTTACTACAGAATTTCAGAACACTAATATTAATTCTATAAATCCTTCAGTCACAAAATATGACAAT